GAACCGGGTCCCGTTGCTTATAAAAAGACAAGAACCTTGGCTGAAGACGCCACAATCGATTGTGAAAGATCGATTGATCAGTCGAGGTGAACGCACAGAATCTTCCGATATGTTCGAAGAGTTCTTAAAAAACTAACGAGAATAATCTCAAAATATCATTAAAATCCGTCCATCATAAAATAAGCCAAATTGGCAACCTATTTATAACATCTAAAAAGACTCTTTTTTTTCACAAGGAAAAAGACTCCTACCTAAACTATAGTAAGGAAACTAATAAATAAGCAAATCCTAACCATAAAGAACTCTATAATAATAAACATATATTAAATCTTATAATAAAAATGTGCATAGTTAAATTAAATAATCTGAACATCAAGTCGACTTCTCGATCACCCTTATAAACTCGCGTAGACATTTGGGTGTGCACGTGCATGCATTTCAGGCTCGATCAAGACACCGTTACACTTCGAATATCTCTCCAAACAAAACATGAAAGTTGTAGAACTTCTAGTTTGCGTTTCTCAGTAATTAAAATCACCTTAATTAGACATTGGGTGAGAGAGTTATAAGCATAAAGGTAAACTATGCCAGAATCATACGGGACTTTCGGGATGCATAAAATTCGACTTGGCCAACAAATTTTTCTTTTTCTTTTCTACCAATTCCACACCGTGAATTCTTAAACAGTCTAATTCATGCTTTTATTCTCCAATGACAACTCGAATAGCCTCTTTAAACTCGTACGCTTTCGCTTTTCCAATTCTTCATCTTGAAGCTTGACAGGATCCTCTCTCTCTCTCTCTCTCTCTCTCTCTCTCTCTCTCTCTCTCTCTCTCTCTCTCTCTCTCTCTCTCTCTCTCTCTCTCTCTCTCTCTCTCTCTCTCTCTCTCTCTCTCTTCGTCACCCACACCATGGTTGTGGGAGGCGATGGCTTTGGCGGTGATGGTCGCAGTTGTAAAGGCACAGTTATGGCGATAGTGGAGATGGCGGCATGACTGTGATGGATATGGTGGGAGTATATATGGCGCCTGTAATGGTGGTGGTGGTCGCCGCGGTTGTAGAGGCACGATTATTGTAATAACAGAGATGATGGCATGACGGTGGTGGGTATGGTAGGGATAGATATGGCGGATGCGATGGTGGTGATACGTATATGGTGGTGGTGGGCGGAAAGATTTTTTGATTTGATGTATACATGCGCATGTGAGTGACTATCGCTGTCTGCGGCTAAAATTTAAAGGAGTTAGGGTTTCGAGAATATTTGATTGCACATTACTGTGGACGACTACGGACTGCTACAGTTCTTATAGGTTTCTGTAGATGACTACTGGCGGAAAAAGTTAAGATATATATATATATATAATTTTCAATATTATGTAAGAAAAAAAGAGAAAATAAAAAGAAAGAGGAACGCATTCTACACGAAAAAAAATACTAACAAAAATACTTGATGCAAAATTGATAATGTTAAATGCATAATACAAATTGATAAATGCAATTTGAATATTACTTAGTGCAGATTTTATTTTTTGTGCTTGAAGGAAATGTTAAAGTGAACTTTGTAAAGTATGTGAATCAAAAATTTATTTGGGCTTGTCACTTATTTTCAAGGGGTCATTACAAATAAGCCCATAAATGGGTACTTATTCATAAAGAGATGCAGACAAAAAACTCATTTACCAATAAGCCCACACATGGTCCAGATTTTTATAAAAGACTAGAATATCCCCTCATACTTTAATATGCTCCAATTTCATCATTAACTTAATTTGACCTCAATTTGACCCCAAATTTCACAAATTATTCAATTTTTGACCCAAAACGTTTTTTTTTTCAAATTTTTTTTGCGGCGTTGATTTTCAATTTTTTTTTCTTCCGAATTTTTTCGCCGGTCTCCGGCGTAGAGTTTTTCGATTTTTTTTTCTTGTTTATGTAACATTTTTTTTTTCGTTTAAACATCAATATTGTTGTGATTGACAGTAATATTAACTATATTACTGTTAAACACAGTAAAATTAACTAAACTACAGTTGAACACAGTAATATTGCTATATTAATCTCTAGCACAATAATATTAACAGAACAAAACTCATTATTATTGTGTAACAGAGTAATATTACTATGATGACCGTTCAACAAATGTAAAACATAATAAAAAGCCATAATAATTAATATTACTGTGAGTGACAGTAATATTACTATAACAACAGTATTATTACTGTCAACCACAGTAATATTACAATAATAGACAGTAATATTATTACGTTACTCCGTGAATAACTCAAACAAACAAGAAAATCCAAACAAAATAATAATATTGATGTGGTTGACAACAATATTACTATAACAACAGTAATATTACCATCAACCACAGTAATATTATTGTGTTTACAGTAATATTACAATAATAGACAGTAATATTATTACGTTACTCCGTGAATAACCCAAACCAAACAAAAAACTTAAAAAAATAATAATATTGATATTGTTGATAGTAATATTATTGTGTTTACAGTTACTTTACTGTCAACGACAGTAATATAATTACGTTGACTTGTCAACAAATCAAAAAAAAATAAAAAAAAATCACAACAAATAAAAAATAATAATATTACATTAATTTACTGTCAACGGCTAAACAATTACATAAATGTATTGTCAACGGCATTACAATTACGTTAATTAACTTTCATTGACAATATAATTACGTTAATTTACTGTCAATGACAGCACAATTACGGTCAATGTTTAGCGGCAGACGTAAAAAAAACAAAAAAAAAAAACCTAATAAAACACTAAAAAAAAAGTCAACACCAGAAACCGGCGAAAAAATCTGGAAGAAAACAAAAGAAAGAAGAAAAAATCGAAAAGTCAACGCCGGAATCTGGCGGCGAAAAAAAGTTTTTGAAAAAAAAATTCAAAATTGAATTTTTTTGGTCAAAATTCTATTTTTGTGGACAAAATTGATTAAATTGGGATTACAATTAAGAGTTGGGTATAAAGGGTTGGGGGTAACATTGGCATATACATGAATGTTTCCTTTATTTATAATAAGGGGAAGTTTGCTAGACACCCCTTACTTTGAATTTATATAGGTAGAGATCATAATTGTTAGATGAATATGAGCATAGGTCCTTTGACCCCAAAAAATAATATAAATAAAATAAAGGGTAAATTCCACTTTACCCCCTTGTACTCTGCCCAAGAACCACTTTACCCCCTCGTACTCTTAATTTCGTCGATTTACCCCCTTGTACTTGTACAATTTCCCAATACAACCCTCTTCGTCAACTTTTTTCGATTTTGACTCTGACGCCATTTGGTCAAGAGTCAAAATATTGACGTAAATATTGAATTTTTTCGATTTTGACTCTCGAGATTAGAAAAGAGAAAGTTTTTACACATTCATATATTTTTTTCTTTGCACTGGGTGGAATCGATCAATTTTTTGGTCTTGATTTTTACTAAGTTAGGGGTTCAATTTGGGGATATCTTGGAAGGGGAAGTGGTGGGAGAAGAAGAAATGACAATATTGACGGAGGAGAAACGACGCGTTATAGGCAGTGGCAATTTTGTAATTTACAGAGTTGACCAAATGGCGTTAGAGTCAAAATTGACAAAAATTGAAGGAAAGGGCTGTATTGGGAAATTGTGCAAGTACAAGGGGGTAAATCGATAAAATTGAGAGTACGAGGGGGTAAAGTGACTCTCAGGCAAAGTACGAGGGGGTAAAGTGGAATTTACCCTAAAATAAAATAATTAGTATATAGACATAAACACCCTCAATTAATAAAAAAAAATCTCATTGACTATCTCTCTCCATCACACGTTCTCTCGCCCTATATCTCATCAATCATCTCTCTTCCTATGTATCTAATCTCACGTCTCTCTCTCTCTCTTTCTTCTTCTCTGGGTTTTTTTTTTCTTCTTCCTCTGTTTCTTTATTTTTTTCATGAAGAAATATTATAAAGAAGGAGAAGAACGGGGATGTGAGATAATTTCTTCATGAAAGAATTAAAGAGGACAACAAACATCCCCTCCCCTTCTCCTAAAAAACATTTAGAAATCCAAAATTCTAGCCAAAATTCGCATCGTGTCTCCCGTATGTAGAACATTCCCATCGTTTGTTGTTAGCAATTTTCGTTTGCAAGTTGGTTTAACTTCGTTTGTTGTTTGAAGAATTGCATTTGCTGTTGAGATTCGATTCCTCTGGTTTGCAATTTGCAATGTATGTCTTAAGTTACATTTTACAAACACTTTGTTTTATGTTTTTGCTGTTTGCAACGTGTTTCATAAACAATTTTTTTGTTGACGTTTTTAATGATGATGATTTTTTTTTTTCCAATTTGTTGTTTGCATTTGGCGAAGTCATAGGCAATTTTTTGTTTGCAATTGAATGAAATGCATATTCTGTATTTTATTTTTCAGTTTGTTGTTTGTATTTGACGAAATCATAGGTATTTCGTTGTTTGCAATTCCATAACAAAAAATCTAATTTTCAGTTTGGTATTTGCAGTTCACAGAGTTGTATGCGTCGCGCGAGAAGTCCCGAAGTCATCGGTAGAGTTTTTTTAGTATGAGTTAGTAAAATAAATTGTATATTTTTTTTATGAATTAATTTAATTTTTTTTTGTAATATTTTGAAGAGAGATTTTTGAGAATTTGTTTTGATAGAGAGATATTTTAGGATTTGATTTGATTTAATCTAAGGGTATTTTAACTACAATAAATATTATTAATTTATTAAAATATGAAAATTTTGACATGAATCTACACACACAAATTATAATATAGAGGGACCTATAGCAAATTGCCCCTTATAATAAATATTAAAGGGGTAGGTTTATTGGTGAAAAAGATATAGTCCCTAAACCTAAAATAATAAAGATACTTGGTCGGGAACTTATGCACAAAAACCCCTATTTTTTATAAGTTTTGTCTCGGATATGTCATTAAATACATATTTTGCACATTGGAAGTGGACCGAATTCATTCAACCACCACCTACGCACCTAAAGTGAGTCACCACTTTCATACCCCATTTCCGCTCTCATCAGGTACTCTCTCTTTCTCTCTCTACATTCTTGGAGATTTTTTTTTCCATTAATCATGTAACCACAAATGTTTATGAACCATAATACCCCCATTAAATTAACCCCCCAAAATTAAAGGTCTATCTGCCATAAACCGAAATCACTCATCTTTAAAAGGTTGGTTGCTTCTTTTTTTTTTTGTTGATAAATTTTGAATGCTTACTAGTTTTATGCTTGCGCGCATGTACAATCATCAATTTGTTCATTTACCGCAATGATTTATGATTTTGAGGATTCTTCGATGGCATATTCTTAATGAGTTAGTGTGCCCACCGTCAATTTTTAGATTTCTGATTCTTAATCACATTTGTTTAAGGTTTGGATTTGTTGTGTAAATGAAATGGTAGCTTGTCTTCTTGTTTGGGGTATGTTCTGAAGGTGTTTGCTGATATGCCCAGCAGAGAAAATACCTCAGTAGTCTTTGTTTGTACTTTGTAGTCATGATGTACTTTTGTACCTGCTTAGAGCCCCATACGAAAGATTAGGAAAACGAAATGGAATAAGTATAGAACTATTCTATTGTATTGAAGAACAAGGAAAATAGTCGTTCATCAATCTTTCGACGTGTCCAAGTCGATTGTGTACCTCTTATCAGCTATAATTTCATGCATCCCAGAAATGTTATGATTGCTCGTTTTACAAAATTAAGAATTCAGTGGGAAATGATACGACTTCCGCATTTTTTTATGTAGCTTTTCCAACTGCCCTTTTATCCGCACTAATTTGAAGAAGTCACTGTAATGAATTCTGTTTACTCCATGATATCCCTCCCCGATGGCTTTTAGTATCTTGAAGTTTTTCGTTTTTGAAATCTCGAAGAGGAATTCTCTATAAGCCTGTGGTCAAAATTGTTTCTGGAATACATGCAACACAACAAATATCCATTGAAATTTAAAAAGGATTGGTCTTATATATATATATATATATATATATATATATATATATATATATATATATATATATATATATTAATTGTCAGCAGTTGTTTTTTTCTTTTCTTATTCGTCTGAATTAGCTTGTGTTTTTGTTGTGCCGTAAACAATTATGCATAATGATAATATGCTTGTATTCAATAACCGTGTATATAATATATGCACACCATGTATATATTATATGTACCATTTGCTTGCTTCCTATCTTGGCCCTTACATTTGACTTATTTGTATTTGCAGATACATCAGGTGACACTTGCTAGCTTCTGATTGGCCCATCTTTTTTCTCATCAAGGGAATCATGTTATCTGCCAAAACTCTACAGTTCACACCCCTCGTAAAGTCCAATGCTTTTACTCTTCCATTCCAAAACACTGTCCCGATAACCGCCAAATTCAAACTCAACACCAAAAGAACATGCCTCAAATCATCCTTACACTCACTAATCGCCGCAGAAACTAACACCAAAGATTCTTCCACCTCTGCCCAAACCCGAGTCGAGATTCTATCCGAAGCACTTCCCTTCATTCAAAAATTCCGTGGTAAAACTATTGTTGTCAAATACGGTGGAGCCGCAATGAAATCCGAAGCCCTACAGGCCTCAGTAATCGCAGATATCGTCCTCCTCTCGTGTGTGGGCATCCGTATAGTATTCGTCCACGGTGGTGGGCCCGAGATAAATCAATGGCTCGCAAAACTAAACATACAACCAAACTTCCTCAACGGACTCCGAGTCACCGACGCATCGACAATGGAAATCGTGTCAATGGTTTTGGTTGGCAAAGTCAACAAACACCTCGTCGCCTTGATCAACAAGGCGGGTGCAACAGCCGTCGGATTATCGGGAATCGACGGCCGGATCTTAACCGCCCGCCCGTCACCGTATTCCTCGCAACTAGGGTTCGTGGGCGAGATAGCGAGCGTGGACCCCACGATAATCCGGCCGCTAGTAGACAACGGCCACATCCCCGTCATCGCCTCCGTGGCAGCTGATGTGGAGGGGCAGTCGTACAATATCAATGCCGACACGGCGGCCGGCGAGCTGGCAGCGGCACTGGGGGCGGAGAAGCTGATCTTGCTGACGGATGTGGCGGGGATATTGGAGGACCGTGAAGATCCAGGGAGTTTGGTGAGGGAGATTGATATAAGAGGTGTGAAGAAGATGATCGAAGATGGGAAGGTTGCAGGCGGGATGATACCTAAGGTGAATTGTTGTGTGAGGTCTTTGGCTCAAGGGGTTAAGACAACGAGTATTATAGATGGTCGGTTGAAGCATTCTCTTTTGCTCGAGATTCTCACCGGTGAAGGTGCCGGAACAATGATCACCGGATGAAACAACTGTTTTTCGGCTATTTTATTAAATGTTCTTGATGTTTTGTGTTTTCCTTGTTATGTTATATCAATAATGTGTAAATTATTGGTACGGAATGAGCAACATAGTAAAGGGAAAGCTCTGTTACTTGAGAACCAAGAGTGTGTCTGCATTTACATTTTCTTATTGAAGTAAAGTTTTTTTAACTTGTTTGGACTAAATAATTGAGGCTTTTAATATATCCTTTTCTGTAATGCAAAAATTATGGAGATTTGAAACTGGTTTATTCTCAAAACTCGTGGAATATCATTGATTTGGTTAGTAAATATTTTCATTAAAAACTCGATTGCTTATTGATAATGTCATTCTATAAGTTAGTGATGTCCACCGCTACTTACGCTATTAAGGACCATTATTTACAACCATTAAGGAGTTGTAACTTATGACCTTTGAGTGATCATTCTTGTACTATATATATGACACTATTGTATTGAGTTCGGTACACTTGAAGATATGGAATAACATATTACATATTCTCCCTACTTTGTTTTCTACTTCTTGTATATTCTTTATTAGTTCTTCGACACGTTATCAGCACGATTGTTTTGTTTCATTTTTCGAGCAATGGTGATCCAAAGAAGATAACATCTCTGCCATATATGAAGAAAATGGAGTTGATTTCAAATATTTTATTGTTGTTTTGAATTGATTAAATATTAATCATCTTCATTTTGTTGTAGGTGAATTTTCGTGCAATTCACGAGTCGGTACTTCGATGCCTGTTTTGGATCTCATAATGTCCGAATTGCAGAAAGTGAAAAGTACAAAACTTGTAGAATTTTCAGTTAGTTGTTCGTAACATTTTGAATCATCAAAATCGGATCTCGATCGAAAGAGATATGCAGAGTTGTCCCTTGTGCGAATTTTTTAGATGAACATGACGTTCTAAAAACATAAGGGACGATTATAGGCCTGGGGCCTAGACTACATACGAGATTAGAAATCTTGATTGAGTATATTAGACTTTAAGTCTAAATAGTAAGACTCTTGAACATTTGAGTTAGTGGGTATTCCCCATTTATAGTACTATTATTTCTCAATTAAGTACTATAACTATTTTTATTATACATTGAGACTTGAGGCCCAAATTGAGCGCGTGCAATAAAGTGAGTCGAAGATTTGAGTGGTATATTAAAGAACTATTTGTTCGAATTTATGCGACTTGAAAAGCTCCATCAATCGAAAAGAACTCGAAGTTCATGAATGTTAGGCTCGAAGCCTAGTTTAAATATGAAGGCTTGGAAGCTTATGTGGAGGCATATCAAATATAAAAGCTTAAGGCCCAGATTATATTTGATGACTAGAAGTCTCGATTGAATATATTAGACTCAAGGTGTAAGTGATGATACTCAAAATTATATATTTGAGTTAATGGGTATTTCTCACTTAAGGTACTATTATTTTACGATTAAGTACCAATTATAGGGCTTAAGACCCCAAATCAAGTACATAAATTCAAGGTATAACTCAAAACCTTGAGATTTGAGTGTAGTCAAAATGCGTATCCGTTTGTGGTACAATGATATCAAAAATATCATGAAACTTGAAGTTATCTATGATTGTTCAAGAAGATACTATGACATTTGGGTTATTGAAATTGTGTTCCATTACATATCTTGAAGACACAATATTTTATGTGCTTAATATGTGTCTTGAAGAAGCACACCAAATATTTCGTATTGAAACGAGCTCTAAAAGACACGAACAAAGTATCTTTGTATCTTAAGATACAAGTAAAAGAATAGGTGGCATATATCTTGAACACGTAAGTAAAAGTAACACATGATACAGTTATTTTTGAATATATTAATTAAGAGAAAATATTCTCTAATTTATGGATCTATATTATGATATATCATGAAGTGGCAACATAAAAACTCAAGTTGCACTTGCAAAAACAAAGTAAAGAATTTTAATTGCATATCGTACTATAATACGAGTTGTGAGCTAATACAAAACTCGTTCAATTGTTGTAATTATTTGAAAGTGAAATAATATTAAAAAATTCGAAGAGATATATTGGCATGAATAGCTATCATGGTGCTCAAGCTTATTTACTACAAATTTTATCTCATCATTAGAAGAGGAAGAGAGATGAGAAATATGATAAATGATTGATCATATATCCATTTTACGATAAAAGCATGTTGATAAGCTTTATCAAGCACCAATAGAAAAACAAAAGAAATTGAGTTGATTTTGGAGTCACGATATTGACCAAATTGATTAAAGTTGCAAATTTCACTCCAAATGCATATATATGGAGGTATGTACATGATTTTATATATATATAATTGGTCTAGATGAGATGAAATTTCAAACCAAATGAAAAAAAGGGGATCTGCTTTTCTTGTTAAAGTTCCAAATCCTCTGCATATTCTGATTTTTTGAAATTTACAGTTTACTCCTTCAAAATTTTCAAAAATTCATTTTAGTTCCCCGTATTTGAAAATTTTACGATTCAGTCCAAATGTTTTTCAGAAAATGCAGCTTGTTCCTCTCATCATCTGCAATTATGAATATATTTCAGCATGTTCAGTTTTCACCAAACTTTTAAAAATTGCAGCCTTGTTCCTAAATTTTAATTTTTTTACAGTTTGGTCCCTAATTTTTTTTAGATTTACAGTTTGGCCCCTGAATTTTCAAATTTTTGAAATTTGATAATTTTTGTTCAGAATCTGTTAGATTCTCAAACAAAGTTATTTTCAGCCACATAACATGATATCATATGGTTTGTTTATTATTTATACTATGAAATATTTTGCACTCTTGATGGGAGATATTTCTATGGCATATATTGCCAATTTCTATTTTAATGAGAAATTTTTACCGCCGTTAAGGGGGAGATAAGAAGCCGTTTCTTGTATAACGGCGTGAAATCATATGAAATGATCTTTGTCTCATCTAGATTTGCGCATGAAAATATTTAAGCACAAAAGAAAAAGATCATTTGCAACAATTGTAATGTGTAAAATGCTAGATGCATTTATCGACAAAATGACAATTTGAAATTATTACATATGTTGCAAACGAGTACAAGATAAAATGTCCAAGAAGGTCACATTGCACATTAGACTTTTCCATGAAATGCTTATAAACGAATGTCCACGAAGTACAAATTTCACATTGTGATTCCATCGTGAATCCCTAAATGGGTGAAAAATGAATATCGCACACAACTAACCCATTATTCTTTATACATATAAGACGGGGAGATATATATGTTGGTTTGAATGATTAACACCCTTATAAGTGGTGTGAATACCGTTCAATTAAAGTCTATTTGCACTAGTAGCATCATACCCTCATCCTATTACTTATCTCATTCGATGAAAGGATTCGTCTTAAAGACGATGTTGGGGGACGCCTCAACCAATATCCATTACTATGATTTGAGAAATTTTTGCCAGCTATGGTGGCATAAACGAAATTCATATTTAGATGAGAAAATTATTGATGATTACACGGTAGCTATCGAGATCATTTTAAACCGAACAATTAAGTGCCAATAAAGAGTTGATTGGAAAATAAATAATGGTTACCTTGCTCTCTAAATCATGGCTATCAAGATCATTTTAAACCGAACAATTAAGTGCCAATAGAGAGGCATTTGAGACCATTAGTTCTGAACTTTGTTGTTGTACTGATATAATATCTTAAAGTATTGAAAACTCTTTTCGAATGAATATTCATGTACCAAATTAAATGTTAATATTGAGTTTGAAAATAAAGTGGACAAGTAGTCCTCAATACTCCCTCCACATTGTGAAACTCAAAAACGCATGTTTTGTCCATGTAGGACATTTGTATTGAAATAAATAATAAGCTCAAACACATAAAGTATTATGAAAAACTTTATTGATGCAGTATAGAAAATTCTCTATAAGAGAAAAATACATGCTACATGAAAATATATGGATCTCTATAAGAGAAAAATACATGCTACATGAAAATATATGGATCTCTACAAGAGATTGTACTCACAAAGGCTACAATCCCTATTTATATCAATATAATTCTTTAAGGAGAACTCGGTACCGGAAAGTGAAATATTGAGCTCTTGGTCGATTATAAAGAAACATGGGGAGTACTAAAGATGTTATCGAAGAACAATATGCACAATTATTTTTATAATGTGAAAAGCTTGAATCTCATACATTATAATACATGTGGACATCTAATTGGTCATTAGTATATGCATTCACAAAATGCAATTGACCATGAGTATTTGAAATTATTGATGAAATGAATTGTACATTGACTCGAAGTCAACGCAAATAAGTTGTGGAACATTTAGTACAAAAGTGGGTAAAATTATTGCGGTATATTTGAATGCCTTTTGAAATATATTTTACGATGCAATCATTTATGATGGTTGTCAAAATTACTTGACATGCATCATATGGATGCAATTACCGCATATCAATATGGATCATAAAATTAAAAAAATGCTTGAAGCATATTAATAAGAAGTCTCGTGAGTTAGACTTTACTAATGATCCATTTACATATTCAGAGTAGGATATAATCACACTAGTTTTGTCGAGTCTTTTAAATCCAAACGCACTCTAAAAACTCAAATGAAATCCCTCTTCAAATCCCTCCATCTAAACGCACTCTAAAGAAATCCCTCTTCAAATCCCTCCATCCAAACGCACTCTAAAGATTTTTAGAGTGCGTTTGGATGGAGGGATTTGGAGAGAGATTTGATTTGGGGAAGGGATTTGAAATGACTCTAAATTTGGAGTCATTTGAAATCCAACCCAATTGCTCAAAAAACAACTAAAAATGAGGGATGTGGATTTGAAATTCCTTGTCAAATCCCTCAATTCAAACAAGTTCAATGGATTTTTTATTATGGATTTGAAATCACTCTTCCAAATCCCTCCATTCAAATGCACCCTCAAATTTCTCAAAAAAAAAAAAAAAAAGTCTGCACCGCAGGTAGAGAAAAACTGCACTGATAAAATCAAATCCCTATGATTTCGCATTGAGATGTGATAAATGTCATTCGAGCTTTAATAATACCGTTACGACTTCAAACGTGATTTTGATCATTTTTAATTCTAAATTTTGCAAAACCCGAAAAATAGAATTTGTAGTATTCCGAGTTAGTTTTCTGATCCAACTTGAATCACCAAAATTGGATGTCGAATGCATAACTTTATCACACGGCATCCAATCTAGCGGATTAAGTTGGATTAGAAAGCTAATCCAAAAGACTACAGTTTTCGTGTTTCGAATTTTGCCAAAATCAAAATAGAAATATGTCAAAATCAGGTTCGAAGTCAAAACGACATTAGTAAAATTGAAACGACATTTAGCATTTCAGTTTCGCATTTACTTGTAATTTCGGAATTAACTGAAGAAACAGGTCGTAATAACTAATAATAAGGATCAAATGTAACAAGCACTCCACGAAAATAGATGTCATGAAGCAAATATTGGGCTCAATATTTAATGTAATTGTGTAAATATATACAACTTTATACATGCAATAGTGCACACTCATACCTCCACCAATCCCCCCCAAAAAAAGAAAAAGAAAAAGAAAAAGAAGGTTCTATACACATTACGTGAATTAGATTAGATATTAAACAGGCCTCATTTCAAAATCATAAAAAAAGTATATATGCTCAAAATATACACAGAAAGAAACAGGCCGATATCACTAAAACTCTTAGAGCAATACTTAAAAAAGCACTCTCTCAGCACTGCAAACGAATGCTACACAAATCTCGTTCAAGTTTATAGTAAGCAAGCCCTCCTCGTTTATGCCTGAGGAATATTCTTCTTACCTTGCTTGAGCAGCGAGTCTTTCATTTCTCTATACAAACGGAGCTCCTCAAATGCATCTGCAGTTGTTTTCGACAGTGCAAGATTTGAACTAGTAGTAGCAGTAGTATCTTCTTGCATGTGATGAACAACAGAGATTTCTTGGTGAAGAGGTGTTGCTTTCTTCAGCATGTGAACAAGGGCACCAACTGCAGCATCTTGTGATTTTTTAACGGGAAAACTCGTGTGGGGTCCGCATGCTAGATCAAATGAACCTTGTCTGCCAAAACATGCATGCATCGTTATCAGAGACCATGTTAGTTCGTACCTTTCTAAACATACCGAGCTTGAAATACTTATTAACAGCCAAATAATTCAAACCAAAAGAGATTTATATTCGTATACACATGGTTATTTATACATCAGTAATTCATACCAAATGCGTGTCATTAAATCACAATTAAAATCTATACATGTTTTTTTCCTTCCCCTTTACATATAGAAATCCATAAAGCAATTTAAACTGACTAATAATCCCACATACAGAATCGCACCACAATTAAACTCAAGCTGACAGATTGACATGTATCAGATTGGCTATCTTAGATAGAAGTCGAGGAATTAAACTATAACCATATTAGAATATTATCAGTAAAACGATTGGACAAGATGTTCAATAAGAAAGAATTTGCGAGCTGTTTGAAGTAAGGATTTCAACATACCATACTGACTCCTATCAGCTGTGCATATGAAATTTTTTTGTAGTTAAACCTATAATCGCTAAATTTGCAAATAATCTAATATATATTCAAAGTAAAAATAAAGTTCTAATGTATGTTCTTCTAGGTAATAATGTATGATCAAATAGCAGGGTAATAAGTTAACCAGCACTTAGGATAAACGAACCGAGTCGAGCCGAACACATGAATGTTCAAGCTTGTTTAAATTTTTAATGACAATTTTTCATTTTCTCTTCTACTTCATGAAAATAAGGTATAGCAATGCCTTTTAGTAGCAATTCTTAAAGGTGTTTCTTATTTGGTATACGCTAACTTAATAAAACACTGTGTTTCGCTAGTCCACCAATCATATTAAACAAGCAAGAACTAATTTGGCAGATAGCAAATTCCCTAATCTTGTAGCATCTATAGGTTCCAGAAATCGTTAGCAACTTCAACTAACTAGATTGATTCAACAAACTTAAAAATATATCAGAATTCTGTAAAAGATGCTTCCATCTGAGAATAACCTATGATAAAGATGAGTAGAAATTCATAATAATTTATATAATCGGGTGGCGATAACCAACATTTATGGCATGTGAAACATATATGTATACTCCACACACACACACACACACACACACACACACACACACACACACACACACACACACATATATATATATTATTAATTTATTTTATATCATGCTTACTGGACCATATTTTTATACATTAGAATTTTACTGACTCGAGATTTTTATAATACCAAGAAAATTGTACATATATATCTATATCATGAGATTCATACACTACACTGGCATTTATTCCTACTCGGGCTAATATAAATATATGAATGTTTCAACATAATTACTGGAGAGAATTTGCATTTTTCAGGTATATTTATGTTCGTTTTACATGCCATGGGCAATTCAGAACGTCACAAGTGATGTGCCTCCTACAAGAAAATAAATTTTGTACCGGTTCGTGAATTATGTATTGGTTAAATCACATACACACCCTGAACATTATTAAGAAGATTTACATTCAAAAATCAAGACAAGCACACAAGGTAACAAATATGTGCTCTGATTGAATCTAAACTAGACAGTAGGTCCCTTCAGATTCAGCAGAGTCTCGGGAAACAGCCTATATGATAATACACTGGAAATTGCAGGCTTTTTCATTTTGATGTTGAAAGAGAAGTATGTAGTAGCTTCTAAACCCCGTTACGCTGCATACTAATTTTCAATACATAAACTCCTCGGTTGATATTTGATAGAGTTCCATTCTGCTAGAAACAGAAATGAGCCGGCTAGAATTGTTACATAATTCAGCAATCAACTTCTTCAAATAGCTATTATAAGTCCTCTAAGAACCAATCAAGATCAATAATTTTGAGAGGAGTTGGTTAAGGTATGATATTTTGACAAGTGCTTTCATATATTATATTGATACAGTCCTTTCGACGGTGACTTAGTCAGTTCTTCAATTGGGTGAAAACATTGCAATGCCAATAAACTTTCGTGATAATTCTCAGGCACCAACCCGATTTGCCTAATCATATCAGAGCTATTTATTCAGTGCTAATTACAAGTTATCACAATTCTAAGGTTACAGATAACAAACATGATAAAAACAGAACCATAATCCAAGCACAAGTTGATGATAGTAACATCTATTTCTAAGCTTCAAGGGTTGCGAGTTTACCTGGAACCTGGATCTGTCGTATCATCTTCATCATCTAAAACAAATGCTCCCGAAAACTCAGAATCATCCTGAAATGACAGCGAACTATTTGATGACGGTTTCACCCCCAGCATGTTTCCTGGTTCATCCTTGCTCAAAGTGAACAACTGCACCAGACAAAGCAGTAACTACTAAAATACTTTCTCAGGGACCCCAAAAAAAGAAGTAAAGGAATTAAAATACACAATACATTACGATCGAAACATATACCCTGTGATGAAGTCCAGAGTGTGCAACTACTTCCTTTGGAACAGTTAGTTGATCAAATCTCGGTTGCTTGTTCGGCAGTGAAGGCATGCTAGAATACCGTAAAATAGCTTTAGGCATATGACTAACGCCGGTCACATTTGTGGGCGGTGATGGAGATGGAGACGGTGAAAACATAGGTGAAGGCCAATACTCATCGTAACTCGGGTTTTTCACATGAGCCACAACAGAAGATGTATCATCGTGTAAATGACGAGGCAAGCTTGATGGGGGAAGGCGGTGAATTGGAGCTTCGGAATACGTCGGTGAAGGTGAAGGGTTCGCCGAAGACGGCGATTCTCTGTAAATGTCGTAACTCCAACTATGGCGCCTACCAAATGGAGATGATGACGAAGGGGAGCTTTGTGATATAGGACCCGATGGGAATCTTTTCAGTGGCTCCGCCATTGGACTGCCTACGTATTCTTGAATGAACTGAGGTGATATAGGTGTTGAAGGCTCGGAGCTCAAGTCCAACACCGACGAACGGTACAACACAGAGAGGCAAAGCCTACCGCAAGAAGTCTCAACCGGAGTAAAAACGAATTTTTGCATATCAGCCTCTTCTCGACGCGTGAACGGCTCGACGAAAGACGAAACCCTGTGGCCAAGATTGTACAATCGAATCTGGGCAGACGAAATGAGATCACGAAACAGTTTATAAGCGGGCAAGAGCCTAATCGTGGCGTACAAAGACCTCAACAGCAATATGGACTTCTTGTACAGCGCATGAGAGCTAGTATTACCAGACCTTTTACTACTACTCCCAGACGAAGACGACGTAGAAGAACCGCCGCCCGCACTTTTCTTACTCTCGTACTGCAAAATCCACCTCTCGATAATCTTCTCGCTCTTGGCCTCGCTCCCGAATTCGTCCGTATCCGAGCCATAAAAATGGCGGTCTTTACCGGATGACGAATTGCGTGCGGGACCTCGTTTGGGGGAGAAATTCAAAGGGGTTTGCACTAAGATGACATCAACAATCATGGGTTCAAGGTTACTCTGGCGCCAAAAGTCTATGTTCTCTAAAGCAGCAGGGCAATCCCTAAGTGCTAGATTAAACCATTTATCCCTCGGCCTAAAACTCGAAGAGGAGGAGGAAGAAGAAGACGGAGATGGAGATGGAGATGATAAAACCTGCTCGCCGCTGTAATTGCGCGATGAAACATAGGGGGAACGGGATTCAAGTATTATGTGAAGGCTTTTAGCAAAAAATTCTGTGATAATCTGCTCCATCTTTGCAGGTTCTGAGTGAGGGTTACCGTGATACGACGCCATCGATTCTTAGCACAAAAAAAAAAACAGAGCAACCCTATTCTTGCGAAGAACCGAGATTATACAGAAATTTAATCAAATATTCAGGCTATCGAAAACAAAATTCAAAAACTCACCACCGCCCAAAAACAAAAGAGAGAGAGAAGAAGAAACAAATTGAAAATTGAAAATTGCAGTCGAATTCGATTAATTTTGATTTTTGAAGAGAAGAGAAAGAAGAAGAAGTAGAAGAGTTGGGGTGACTGACTAGTTCTCAGAGTGGTGGTTGCTTGCAGGCAATTTCCAAGGGGCTCCAAGGGTATTTTCGTCACTCCACCCACCTATATCCACCTATATATCTGTGGCTGTGGTTTATATTATATGCGGGATCCCTCTCTCTCTCTCTCTCTCTCTATATATATATATATATATATATATATATATATATATATATGATTATATACAACACACTACGACTTGAGGGAGACGAAGATGAATAAGCGAGAAGAACAAATTGAAGCAGTTTTGTTCAGATTGGAGAGAGAGAAAATCTCAGGGGATTTTTTGGACCTTTTCTATTTTGATTTAATTTAATTTTGTTTTTTTCTTCTTGTAACTTCTATTCTAGTAGTTTGTCGGGGTTTTGGAGCGGTAAAAGAAGTGTGTGTAAAATAGAGGGGGTTTTATGCATGGCGGCGGCGGATATGAGGAAGCCCATAAATCTCTTTGTACAAGGCCTCCAATGTAAATATATTAAAATATTCTTAATGAAATTCGAAGTGCAAAATCTAACAGGAAAATTATTGAATCATACACCTAATTATTTTCTTTCTCTAAAAACACAATAGCTCCAAAACATTTCTCCGACACGATTCTTCATTTTCCCTTACAATTGCACAAAAATATCATAAAAAGCCCTATATTCGAGATCTGGACTTGAATAAAATCTTCACGAATTTATGCTACAGTCAAAGTAATCATTTTATCTTTACCAAGTAATTTTATTTTCTGTTTGAATTAACATCGATTTTTTATGTTACAATGATCTTTTGGGAAAAGCTAATTTTGGTGAAGTGTGGTGCCGGTGGAGTTGGGTCGCCGTTCGGAGTGGTCATTAGTGACATTGGGTCGTCGTGGTCGGTGAAGGAAGAAGGTGCTCCTGTCATGGTATTAACGGCCATTAAATTCAAGATCAAATTAACACAAAAAAAATAAAATAGAAAAAAAACTCATTTCCTTTGTGCAATTCCAAATAAAACAAACCTACAAACACACCAATTATCTCACAATTTAAAATTTCATTCTTCTTCTTCTTCACAAACTCACCAAGAACTCTAAACACCAAAACAATGAAATAAGCACCAAGCAGTCATAATGGAGTCGGAAAACAAGGAGATGGTGGTTTATGATGGTGGAAAACGTAATAAGATATGTTTTAACCGTTTATTTTAGCTTGTGTGTCGTTTTTTTTTTTTGAAAATAAAAATCACCAATACCAAAAATCGGTATTCATAGTCCGATTTTTTCAACGATATTCGGTATTCGCGTGCCAATTTTACAAACAATCGGTATTATATTGCCGATTTTTCAACAAAAAAAAAAAAATCGGTCTCGATATGCTGACTTTTTCAAAAATAAAATTGGCGCATACACGCTGTTTTCCCAGCTTCGATTTCAATCTCAAAATTTAATCCTAAATCGACCTAACCATTGCAACCCATCAAGAAATAAGCGTCGATTAATGTTCACCACGCATATTTTTTAAGGAATCAATGCTCAATTAATGTTTTCGAATTTATCAACAAAAAGTTTAGTGTAGAAAGTAGTGGGTTGGTGGTGGTAGTGTGCAAGTGGGTGGGTTGTATGCGTCGCCAGTGTGGTGGCGAATACCCTGGTCGGCGTCGTTGCGGTGGTGCGCCGGCGGTCGTATAGCGGTGACTGGTCAGGGACTTATGTATAAAGGCGGCGGATATATGCAATCTCAATAAGTCCATCCCTTTAATATGTATTATAAATAAAAGAAACATTAATGTATATGACAAAATTACCCGCAACCTTTTACACTCAATTCTTAATTGTAACCCCAATTTAATCAATTTTGACCATAAAAATTCAATTATGACCTTTTTTTTAACTTTTTTTTTTCATAAATTCTTTTTTTGCCGCCGGTTTCCGGCGCTGAATTTTTTTCTATCTGCATTTTCCATCGCCAGTCTCCGGCGTTGACTTTTTTTAGAGTTTATTTTTTATTTTATCTTTTTTTCCTTAAAACTTTTATCCATTTTTCTTTATGCCCGCCGCTGAACATTAATAGTAATTGTACTGTCATTTAAAGTAATTATATTGTCGTTGACAATACATTTGCGTAATTGTATATATTGTCGTTGACAATACAATTACTGTCACATACAATATAATCATTTTTTTTGGCTTTTTTTTGTTTGATTTTTTGACAAGTCAACATAATTATATTACTATCAGTAACGGTAAAATTACTGTAGACACAATAATATTACTGTCAACCACATCAATATTTTTTTTTTGGGGATTTTTCGTTTTGTTCAGTTATTGACGGATTACCGTAATAATATTACTCTCTACTATTGTAATATTATTGTAAACATAATAATATTATTGTGGTTGACGTTAATGTTACTGTTGTTACAATAATATTACTGTCAACCACATCAATATTAATTTTCTTAGCCTTTTATTATGTTTGCATTTGTTGAACGGTCAATATATTAATAGTACTCTATTACACAATAATAATGACTGTTGGTGTGTTAATATTACTGTGCTAGAGGCTAATATATCAGTATTACTGTGTTAAACTGTAGTATAGTATGTTACTGTGTTAAACTATAGTATAGTTAATATTATTGTGTTTAACACTAATATAGTTAATATAATTCTCAACCACAACAATATTGTTTTTGTTTGGACCCCTTTATTAATGAGTATCCCATGATGAGCTTATTTGAGATGTGCCCAAAATAAAGTGTACCTGGGATTAGGGAGACTAGAATTTTGTCTTCGATTACTTAGTCTTATTTAGGTGTGGGTTTGGTAGGGCAACCGTACTAAATCCCTCGAATCACTTTCATTACCGAAAATTCGGTATTATGAAATCCATTACCATTACCATTACCCTAGCAAAAACATCGGTATACCAAAAGTCCGATACGGTAGGGTATGATAATGGTTATTACCAGTTTATGTTATCAACTATGTAAGTTTAAATTGAATATCATTTTTTCAAAGCAATTCAAGTTATATACATGTTTTAAATATTCAATCAAAACTAGTATTTAAGATATAAGTATTCAAAATATTTGATTGCCGTTACCCTACTAAAATATTTTGATATGGTACGGTAGAGTACAATAATAATTTGGTAGAAATATTTCAGTAGAAAATCAGTAGGGTTCGGTAGGGCGACAGGTTAGTAGGGCAATTTGGTAAAAAAAGAACCCACTACTAGTGCTATTATACATTTTTCGGGTGTAAATGGCAGCGTGGTGATTTTCATGATCACTACCATTTTTTCAACTAGTCTCTTTAGGGTTAGGAAAAAAAAATATCAATCACCATATACCACGGCATACCTACCAAGAAATACTGAAAATTATCGAAAGAACGGTTACCATTGTTTACGGTACGGTACTAGTACCGTACCATGACAATACAGTATAGTAGTGGTATCGTATTTCTAATACCACGGTAATACCAGATAAGTGTTCATTTTGCATGATTTTCACTTATCAATTCTTCGAGTTTTGGTCTTCGTTCGTCCGAGTTTTCGGCTTTATTTGTATATATTATGCGTTTCTTGTTTTATTTCTATTTTAGTTAAAGAGAATCTATTTTTGCCGATTCGAAACGATTTTGGAAGCGAAGCCGAAAATCAAACCAAACACGTGCAAAAGTGCATTATCGCGAGTTGTGGCACTGTTTCGTATTTCAAGCATAACTTTTGCATACGACCTCCGATTGAGCTGAAGCAAGTGGTTTCAGAAAGGTAACTTCAAGATCTACAACTTTGGTGAAATGCAAAATTGTCAAATTCGGGCTAAAAAATGGTCAAAACAGTGTTTGCAGTTGACGTAGAAGAGCAGATCGTGATACATCTTTCCTGTATCGCGATCTGGGGGGTCTTACAGAAGTGTAAATCCCAAACCATCCGTCTTATTCATGCGAATATTAGCCCAATCACACTCAAACAAAACAACATTTTTTGTACCTACAGCGAATGAAAGTTCAATGATGTCTTTTATTACGCCGTAGTACCCTACATCTTCTTCTTTAGGAGATTTATCCTTTGAGCTTGCGAAACTAGTAGTCTTTGCTTTGACAAAAACACCACTATTTTGAGTTAAAAGAGACTCTTCAGATGATTTTGTGCGGAACATAAATCCTTGCACTTCAAATCTTTTAAAAGTCTTCACTCTAAATTGAGGTGAACAAGCTAAGGCTTTCAGATCTTTAGACAATTCACTTTTTCCTTTCACCTATTTCGTTACCAATTAATTATTATTACTTTGTTAAAAACAATTTGCAAAGGAAGTTTACGTCAAATCAAACACTTACATAAGATTGGAACCAATGACGAAATTCTTTTTCTTGTAATTGTTGAATGCGCCATTGGTATGCATGGTCACTTGTCGAGATTTTATTCTTAATGGTCTCGAAATGCTCCCTAAAAGGAATTGTGTAATTTTTTTAAGTTGAAATCAATTGAAGATAGTAGTAATCAAAATATTAGCAAGTGACTTACTCAATGTAAGGTTGAACTTCATCTGAGTTAAAAAGACAATAGGTGTGCGCCTTTTCCATTTCATCATAACTAAGCGTTCTGTACTTAGGTCGCACTTCATTGCCTTGTTTGTCATTGTCACAAATATTCATAGATGAATTTTCTGGGTACAATGAGCAAAAATTTAAGCACTCCTCAGTGATGTAGCATTCAACAATCGAACCTTCGGGGCACTTTTTAATCCGTACAAATGACTTTAAGTGACTCAAGTATCTGAGGTTGAAATTTTTTTTATAAAACATAAAATAAAATAAATTCAA